ACCGGACTTTCACGATGTTTTCTACCAGCAAGGGAGAGTTCAATGAGTCGGAGATTTTGGCGAGGAGGCTGTGAGGAGTTGAAAGAGCAAAGCTGCTTCCGTCGCTGCTAGTCGAGTCCGAGCACTACCGCTACAACTTCGCTACCGGAGAAGCCGTGAACAGCCAAGGAAGGACCGTCACTCATTAAGGATGAGCTGTTCTTCTCGGATCTTTGGTGCTTCACGCAGTCACGACGGCTTCCTGTTACTCCTGTCAACATCTACCACCCCGAGGGTGGTTGTAGCGTGCTTTCCAGCTTCCATATCGCAAGTTTGTGTGTATTCTAGTATGGTTGCTTGTTGTGTGGGTGCATCTCAGCCGGGAAAATCAAGACAAGGCATCACCACCGCCGTGAGCCAGCGGTTGCCACCTCCTACCACTGCCAACCACCACGTTAGGTGGTTGTGTATAAATGTGTGTGAGTTTTACGTAAGTATTCCACTGTGTGCGTGTTTTGATGTGTCTATGAGTGTTTTTGATGAGTGTGATCTTGTATGTAATTGTTTTTGGCTGGAAATCGGGAAGAGCCACCATCACGACCGTGAGGTAGTGGCTGCTGTTGGATTAGTGTCTAAGTCCATAACTATGTTTAGTATGTACTTGACCCGGTTGTAGCATTGTCCTTTTGGGCTGCCTTCACCAAAGCAAGTTAACTGGATAAATAATAAAGAAAGAGGTTATTATAGTTTATTAATATATTATATGAATAATATACTAAAGGAGAAATCATATTTGTTTAATTAATATTGGTTTGGAATTAATTGAGAATTAATTTTTTGAACAAAAAAGATTAATTAAACTAATGGGAATAAAATTGCAATTATAAGATAATTGCATTGTGAGCTAAGGAAGCCCTAGAGTTAGGGTGGACGAATTCTTGGGGATGAGGCCTTAAGAATTCGTCCAAGGTAGGGATTCTAGAAGATTCTTACGGGGTGCTTAGAACCTAAGCAACCAGATAAGTGTTTCATTGAAACCCTAATTCATCACCTATAAGAGGGACCCCTAGGCATGCAATTTTTGGCTACCATAACCCTAAGAAGAGTTCAAGAGCCAAAAATTACCTCTCCCCTATCTCTCTTGCCTTCTCCAAATGTTTTGGTGTTTGTGATCTATTAGAGACACAACATTTGAGGTGCTAAGGTTCTCAAAGGTTCAAGATCTTCAAGAAATAATCAAAGGTAATGTTCTAACTAGTTTATTAGACATGATTTCGGTTTTTGTGATATGCTAGATTAGGGTTTTGCAAGTCATGGACAATTATGCATGTACACTTAGAAAAACTAGATCCAAGCATTAGGGTTTGCATGAACACCATAGGAATATTGTTTATTGCTCAAAAACCATTAGTGGTATCAGAGCCTAGGATGTTTATTCTATTGTATTTGATGCAAAGTTTATTGTTCAAAGCTGTAAAATCTGTTTTTCTATTTTTTGACCAAACCCACGACGTGACCAGAGATGGTCACGGCGTGAGCACAACTGTTTGCTGGATTCCAGAGTTTCTGCCTTGATTTGCTTTGGATAATTACCATAAATCGTTTTTTCAAATTTAAATTCAGATTTTTTTTATGGTAATTGATATCCAAATCAAATTAATGGATAATTGTCAATTTAAGATCATTACTTGTTTTATAACATAAAGATTGAATTATCTTGTATGGAAAAGATTAAGTCAAATTATGTGATCAATACTAATAATATGATTAATTAATAATTTTCAAATTTGATCTAAAAGAAGTTTTAAAAAGTTTCAAAACTTGCCCTCAAGTTTTGGAATTTAAATTTTGATTAAAAAGTTTAATTTTGAAATATTTAAATTCTAAACCCTAGAATTTTACAAGTTTAAAATCCAACCTTATACTATTATTATATTATAAGATTAATATATATATATATATATATATATATATATATATATATATGTATACATACATATATACATACATATATATATATACATACATATATATATATACATACATATATATATATATATATATATATATATACATACATACATATATATATATAAATATATATATATATATATATAAATATATATATATATATATTTATATATATATATATATATATATATGTATGTATGTATATATATATGTATGTATGTATATATATATATAAATATATATATATATATATATATATATATATATATATATATATATATATATATATATATATATATATATATTTATATATATATATATATATATATATATATATATAGGCTTAGGTTATTTTGTTTTACTAACTATTGTGTGCCAGAATGCACAGATCTAGACCACCGGATGAAAAGAATCAACAATCATGATCTGAGGTTCTACGATATTATAATAGGGTAGCATGTATCATATAATCACAAAATTTTTAGCAAAAGGGTAATTTGGTCAATTAACCTATTTTAAAAAAGGAAATATTCGGATTTTAAGGGATCATTAATTCCCTTATTTTTAAAAATCTGAATTTTTTAAATTAATTATAATTAAATTTTAATATTATTTTTAATAATAACCGATTTTATTCTGCCAGAATAACAAAAAGTCAACAATAAACTAGTAAATATATTTGTGGTTTTATTCTTCCAGAATATGGTTTCATTCAAGATACTTTTTATATTAAACATGCTTAAAGAATTATACAACATATTATCAAGAATAACATTTTCCAAGGAATACAAATTTTATTATTTTAGAATCACTATTTACAGTCATCTGTAAAGAATAAGACTATAAATAATTATTACATTCATTCGAAAAAAATTATGACAAACAATGGTTTAAGGATTACATTATTCTTAAAGATTAAAACTAAAAATGGTTAAAAAAGAAAAAAACATCAAAATCTAACAAAAACAATAATCCATTCCGAAAGAATATTATTGTTAAGAAACAATTTATAAATTCTGACAGAATACATTCTGTTAGAATGCGCTATTGTTCTCCATGTTTCCTTCATTTTCCTCATTAATGGCAACTTCTTCAAAACCTAAATCCACAAAGAAAACATAATCAACTTTCAGATATTAAAATTTTTAGTGCATTTTATAGAATAAAACAATAAATTCCGATAAATTCTAACAGAATGCATTTATATAAAGAAATTTTAACAGGATACATTACAGAAATGCACTTAAATCATAGTCTTTTCTTCTTTATTCATAAACATTCTAAAAAATGTATAATTGTATTCTGTTAGAATTATTAGCAACACATGATTTATGTAATATTTATATTCTAATAGAATGAACATGTGTTTGCATTCTGATATGAAAAAAAAAATCTCCAGCTTAACCCTTTTCATGCAAATTCTGACAGAATGTCAGCTTAACCCTTTTCATCAAAGACAAATTTAGAACAATCAACTATCAAAGAACATATGGAAAATCAAGAACAATCAATCATAATTTAAGTCAGATTCTAAATTACAAAATCAACTTGAATGATGGATATTTAAAATTAAAGAAGAATGAGAGCATAATGGGCATACTAGTGAAATCAGTAATCAAAAGGAAGGATAATCGAAAATCAAAGAATTGAAAATCAGTGAATAAATCTAATGGAAGATCCATGTGAAGAAACGTAAATCGAAACATTCAGAGGAAGAATTGCAAGCAATCAAGATGTAGAAGAATAGGAAATCAAATACTACAGGGAAAAAATCACAAAACCTTTCATGGGAACGGGAAAGATCGAGACTCGCAGAATCGCATCATCGTTGGTGCAGATTGCATCTCTGCCCTTCTTCTCTTCAAGAATCACAAGTTAGATTAGTTTACTCTCCTCAACAACATATGAAGATGATGATGTTGGTGATCGACGATGGTATTAGGCGGCAATGGTTGTCGGACTTGGTGAGGAGAAACATGGAATACGATAATGTTGATGGTGATGAATGGCCATCGTTTTTGTAGGGTTACCAAACAAATCACCCTAATTTAAAGGATATTAAATGTTTTAAATATTTACCATAATTAAGTGTGACAAAATTACTATTACACCCTTTTATTATTTATTATTGAATTTTATTTTTCTTAATTTTGATTGGTTGTTAAAGTCACACAATACTTATTGAAAACATTTGAACCTAATTCTATATATATACATACATATATATATATATATATATATATATATATATATATATATATTAATCTTATAATATAATAATAGTATAAGGTTGGATTTTAAACTTGTAAAATTCTAAGGTTTAGAATTTAAATATTTCAAAATTAAACTTTTTAATCAAAATTTAAATTCCAAAACTTGAGGGCAAGTTTTGAAACTTTTCAAAACTTCTTTTAGATCAAATTTGAAAATTATTAATTAATCATACATACATGCGCATTTATGACACGCAATGCGTATCATTAAAATCACTGTCAAGAAAGGCTATGTCATAAATGAAGATGACACACATTTTTGCGTATCGTAATTTTAAGCTTAAAAAAAATCATTTATAGATTTACTAATTTTCAAATTAAATTTGCATTTCATGTCTCATAATAGAAAATAAAATACCATATACAAAAAATACAATACATTGCACAAAAGTTAATGTCATAAAAAATACAATCCATTGTAATACATTGGTATTAAGAGGATCTAATTATACATTGCTATTAAGAGATTTTCCCTAACTATATAACCTATTTATATAACCTATTTGCATACGTACGTGTAGTTCCAAGTAGGGGTGTGCACCAAACCGCCCACACCGCACCAAACCGCACCGCCTAATGCGGTTTAGAACTAGCGTGGTGCGGTTTGAAATTTTGTTAAACCGCATTATGCGGTGCGGTTTGTGGTTTCCAATTATAACAATGCGGTTCAAACCGCACCGCATATATATATATATATATATTATATATATATATATATATATATATATAATACAAACACATAAAAATTACACAGAAGATACGAATTTGGTTTTATTACTAATGAATTTTGATATCACCAATTTCAATTTTTGTAAACAAATTTGTGATAGATTATTTATCTGATTGTCTAATGTAACAATGACTAGTATTGTTAAAATATTGGCAAAACCAACTTATCTTGATTCTATAACTAATATATTTATGTATAAATTTTATGTACATAATATTAAAAATACATATCCTTTTTCAAACCGCATAAACCGCAAAAAACCGCACAAATCACCCGCACCAAACCGCACCACATAACGAGGTTTAGAACCTTTGCGGTGCGGTTTGCGGTTTTCTAAAATTTCAAACCGCACATGCGGTGTGGTTTGCGGTTTCGACTCGAAACCGCACCAAACCGCACCGCGAACACCCCTAGTTCCAAGCAAAGTTCCTCAGGCTATCTTCTCTTCTTTTTCCTCTAGCATCTTTACCAAATCAAACAACATAAATGATATATATATATATATATATATATATATATATATATATATATATATATATATATATATATAAATGTAAGCATGAAAAGAAAAAGCTACCTGGTATAGAGGTTTCTCGGGTTCCTTCCTTTGCTGTTGCTGTTTGCGGAGGCCAATAACATCTGGAGTTTCAACACCAGTTGGGGTTAGGGTACTGAGGAGAAATAAAAAAGAAAAAATGAATCAGTTTTTTAAACACATTTTATTATTACAATAATAATGATAATAAAAACATGGTTAAAAAAGAAATAGAAAATAAGACCTTGAAAGGATGAATAACTAATTCTTGGCTACATTTTAGTATTGGACGTTGCCATATATTAAATTCTCAAAGATCTGTTTTAATTTGCTTTCTGAATTGCATGAAACATTGAAACCCATGTTAAGCCTTTATATCATATAAAAAGTAAATAACATATTGTAGTTGAAACCCATGAAAAATGCTAATTCTTGAAAATTCATTACTGCAAACTTGTTTAGACTGACCATTACAACCACCTAGAATGCTCCATACAACTCCAAAAGGTGGCAGCAAGCTCCACACAGCTCCAAAAGCATGGGAAAAAATTTCATACCAACAAACACAACAACTAAGCAAAACATAGAGCAGGGGTAAAATGGTCAAAAAGGAAAAAACACTTCAAAGTTCAAATAGCAACCATAGCAGGTTAATGATGTAGCTATAAAATTAGCAAATAGATACCTAAGAATGAAATGACAAGTTTCCCCTGTTGCAACAATTAATAAAATCAATAATTCACAAATTAGGTTAATGATGTAGCTAATTTTTTATACTAACAAGAGAATAGAATAAGTGATGCAATCGATTTCTGCATGACAAAGTCAGAAAGAAGACTGGGTGTGTTGTTGTTCTTATAACATGCCTTGCTTCAGAACCCACACCATGTACTATCTTTGGTTCACTTTCCTGCAATATAAATCCAACATGAACAGATTATTAATAACAACTGATGATATATAAGAATTTTATGAATGATATATAAGAAAAGTTATGATAAGGGAAAAGGATTTGCACTCACTCTTTCATCATCATGTTCTACCTTGTCGCATCTCAAGCATCTCTCTCCCGAGCCAGTCAACTGAACTAGATGAATAATTTAAGCTGGTAACAACTCTGGAACTGCCAACTCTGACATATCCAAGGTTGGTAGAAGCCATTTAACACCTGATGAATAGCACAAAGGTGGCAACGACTGTTTCTTTAGTAACTTCCAGCAAGTTTTTTATGAATGTCAACCAAGGGTATAATGGACCAAACTCAAAATAAGTTTATATTTATCCCTGACATGACGTTGAAATTTTTAACCTCGAGTGTCAATACCAAGCATATCCCTGGAACGTTGTGATGTTGGATCGATGTATATCAGGAGCTGTAAAATCAAAAATCAAAAACATTAAATATGAGTAAATGCAAATTGTAACTTACCAATAGACATTAAATATGAGTAAATCAAAAATCAAGAACATCATCAACCAACAGTTTGACATAAATAAATTCATCACGATTAGCAAGGCTTCTAGCAAGGTTAATTGCTCATTCACTATAATCTATTCCAGTGAGATCAGAGAACCTATTTATACTAACATCAAAAGTAATAAAGAATGATTTATCAATTATCATCATACCAAAAGGAGAAATAAGTGTTATTATGTATAATACTATACCCCTGTTTAGCAAGCTCTTGAAAAAGTAGCCCATTGCCTGTTCCAACATCAAGAACCCTCCATCCTGCTAACTCTTTATCCTCTTGATTAACAGACTCAGAGTCATCATTTTTATGTTGAATTTGTAAATGTCTTTGTGAAATGTTAACACATAGTCCTTTTGTCCATGAAGCAACCATTTCCATGACATCTGCCCCAAACCTTTAGAAAGAATTTAAAAATTCATACAAAAAAGCATCTTGTCAAAGTAGGTATATGTCATAGTCAATTAGATATGCATACCAAACTTCACCAAGATCCCCATGCTCACGAAAATTTGTCAATTCATCTGCATATGTTGCATCCCAGTAACTTTGATACCCCAGATGATTACCTCGGTTAAAGCTGTAATTTACTAAACCTTCAATTGGAACTGAAGAAGCTTAGGGCACTACCCTTGCTGCTGTAATTGATGATTGGGACCCATTTTGCCTAGCAGTAAGAGATCACAGATGTGACCATTATTGCAACTAAATAAGCTTCGGTTCCATTCCATATCTTCAATTCCAACTCTCAAACGCTAAATGGTAATTTTCTCCAGCACTAGCAACTTCAGGGTAAGATTGACAAGTTGATTTAGTTGATGAAGAATTTTGATCTTGAAACTGAATTTGAACTAAACAACACATGGGTGTCTTCAAAGTCAAGATCAAGAACTAAAGACGATGGAATTTTCTAAAAAAGAAAAACATTAAGAACAAGAACGAAGGAAAAAGGATTGGATGTTTAAGAATCATAGCCCTAATTTTTTTTTACTAATAATAGATAAAAATGCGCAGATTGGGAAGGAAAATAAACATGCAGGTTCCAAAAATCAAGAAACCCGAACAGTTTATGAAGATCTTATAAAATCAAAGAGCTAAATCCACATAAATTCTAACACTGAAAGAAGAACAAGAAAGGGGTTTGAAAGATTAAAGATGAAAACACATGAAATAAGAAATTATACTCTATCGAGGAGAGACTTACCTAAATTTGCAGGAGAAGAAGTGTTTGCGCAATCAGAGTAGTTTTAGGGTTTCCTTCAGTTACTCCCTTTACGTCTCCAACAATTTCCATCTATGGAGGAGAGATGAGAAAAAACCCGGTGGAGGGGGAGAGACAAGAAAGTGGATGCATCGATTACGGAGAAAACAAACTCAGAGAGTGGAGTGAAGTTGGATTTAGGAGAAGTTCACATGGACGATGGATACTGGAGACCAAAAAAGGTAGAGCAGTAGTTACAACATTTGCAGCTCGGAATGCTACTTGATTCTGTTCTGCTTTCTTCAGTAAATAGAACAAACAACTTCAAGAAGCTGAGATTGTGCCTTCTGCTTCAAAAAGAGAGAGCTTTCCAGAACCAGAATCCAATGATGGAGAAGATGCAGTAGATGCAGGCGCTGTTGTGATGCGATGTTGGAATGGTGGAGTCCGAGAGAAAACATAAATGGTGATGGGTAGCTATCGTTGTTGGTGATGTTCGATTCATCAGAAGCCCTAGTTCTTCGCTCAATCGTCTATTTTGTGAAAGAAGACATTACCATTGCAATTGCGTTATGTTTGATTAGGGTTTACACAGAGAAGGAAGTGAAAGTCGATCGTAGAGGAAGGGCTTTGCAGATAGAAGGAAGGGAGAGAATGAAGTCGATCTGGCGGGTGTAGAGAGTATAGAGGAAGAGGATGGCGGGTGTTCAAAATTTTGGGGGATTTCATTTCCCCCCTTACCTATCAAGGAGTCCCGCCCAAAAACACGCGTTTAGTAAAAATTATAAAGTGAAATTTCTAGAGGACACGCCCTCCCTGTTTTTTTATTGGACATTAATTTTAGAGCGCGCTAAAATGCGTGTTCACTATCCTTCAAATTTTGGAAGGCTAACATTATTTTTAAGGGAACACAAAAATGCATATCGTAAATCAGCGAGTGTCATTGTTTGCGCGTCATTAAAGGGTATTTTTCTTGTAGTGATCGTTAGTAGGCCTCATTCACGAAGCCGATCTATAGGGGGGGTATAAGGTTGCTGCCTATAAAATGACTGTTTAATGGGTGTCCACTCTTACCCACCGCTTCCTTGATTAGTGGAGGGTCGTTAGTCGATCGGGTAGGATAGGGAAACTAATTCCTCATTAAAAGTATAATGAATATATAAAGTAACTAAATGTTTTTATAAAATTCTCAATCTTAGTTACTTTAGGAAAAATGTGAAATGATGCTATTGCATGAAATTACACTTTGTACCTTTGCCAAGTCGTTAGTGAAGCATGCATGGATAACGACACACTAATATGAACCAACAACGGTGGCAAAGGGTTACTTGATGTTTACCATAGATCAATGGATTGTGTGTGGTTAACTGACACATTGATTAGGTGGTAAATGACATCGAGAGTACCAAGTACATTTGCATGGTTATTCACACCTTGTTTGTGATCTTTGGTATCCCAGTCACAAACTTGAAGGGCATATCTAGATTTAAACATGCCATTGAAAAGTTCAATGAATCTAAAAAGATCTAGGAGTTTCAATACATTTAAAACTTAATTTCCTTTTCGTATCTTCATTCACGTACCTTCAAATTATTTGCATTTTGGATTACGACATCCCTCTTCTAAATTGTGAATAATTGTGTGGGGTCCTAGCCCTAATTTCTCATTTAGGTGTTTAATTAGGGATTCTTACCTAATAAAACTTTGTTTCCTTTCTTTTTCAGATGTCTAATTCAAAAACCAACGCTTCAGGCTCAACCCCTGCTGGCTCATTCTCACTCATGAATCTATGTGGATGGGTGATATTTGACGGGACCAACTTCAACGATTGGACCTGCAACATCCATATGGTCACCTTCTTCGAGGACAAGGAGTATCTTCTCGACAAGGAGCTGAAGGAGGTTGATACCAACACTGCTACTCCCGAGGAAATTGTTGCATTCGAGGCTCACGAGTGAGATGCTAAGAAAGTTCGTTGCATCATGCTTGTGACTACGACTGTCGAACTCCAAAAGTCATACGAGGACTACTACCCTTACGAGATGCATCAAGATTTGATGGATAGGTACCATTAAAGTGCAAGGCAAGAAAGGTATGAGATCATCGCTTCGATGATCACTACCAAAATGAGAGATGGAGAGTCCATCATGACCCACCTATAGAAAATGCAGAGGTATGTGGACCTCTTGCAGAAGTTAAATGCTAACTTCGATGAGGAGTTGGCCATATAAATTATTCTACACTCCTTACCTCCTTGCTATGACCAGTTTCATATGACCTACCACATGAAGAAGGAGGAGGTCACTCTAAGCAAGCTCCAAGGCCTGCTAAGGACTGCTGAGAATAGTCTAAAAGGAAAATTTGTTGCATCTACTCTTGCTGCTGCCCCCGTCTTGGCTATTGGGAAAGGAAAGGGTAAGAATAGAAAGGCTCCCTCTAAGAGACACCATAAGGGAATGTCCCACGATGGTACTTCTTCTAGTGGAACCAAGGCTGGTCCCACTGCTCCCTCTTCAAACCCAAAGGATGTCGATTGCTTCTACTGCCACGACAAAGGGCATTGGAAACGAAGTTGCCTGAAGTACTTGCAAAAGATCAAGGATGGGAAGATAAAGTCGTCCTTCATAGGTATTTATACTATTCATTCTAACAACTCATCACATGCTATGTATGGCCGAAGAAGAAGTAGGGATGTGGAGCATGGAAAGATAAACTTGATCATGGGGAATAGGAAAGAATCGTCTGTCACCAAGATAGGAGCTTACTCTTTAGTGCTTAGTAGTGGGTTAGGTCTATATTTGAATAATTGTTGTTACTCGTCAGAAATGATACAAAACATTATTTGTTTTCATGGTTTATATAAAAAAGGTTTTAGATTTTTGTTTGATAATGAAAAAGGTTCTATTAATGTTTTCTTTAATGGTACTTTCTATTTTGAATCATTGCCTTGTAATGTAATATATGAAACTGTGATGGTTGTAGATAACTTAGGAAATAATGTGTTGCATATCGATTCTTCCAATAGTTTGAACAAAGCATGGTTGTGGCATTGTCTTCTTAGACATGTCAACAAGAAGCACATGGCCCAAATCCAAAAGGATGGAGTGTTGGAGTCATTCAACCTTAGGGATGATGACGTGTACGATTCTTTATTACTTGGAAAGATGAACAAGTCACCCTTCACTGGAACTTGTGAAATGGGTGAGGGTTTTCTCATACATACCGATGTATGTGGGCCCTTTAGATCAACCCCAAGGGATGCGAACCGCTTCTATGTGACCTTCACCGACGATTACAACAGATATGAGTATATCTACTTAACCAAGCACAAGTCAGAAACCTTTGAAAAGTTCAAAGAGTTTAAGCAAGAAGTGGAGAATCAGATTGGCAGGAAAATCAAGATGCTTCGATCCGATCAAGGTGGTGAATACCTTAGTCTTGAATTCCACGACCACCTCAATGAATGCTGAATTGTTTCGCACAATACTAGAAAAATAGCCTTGTACGACGCACAATTAATGACACACACTGATAGAGGACGCGTATTTTTGCGTGCCCTAAAAATTAATGTCAGTTTCCAAAATTTGAAGGATAGAGGACATACATTTTTGCGTGCCCTAAATTTGTGTCACAAAAAAGAAAAAAAAAAGAAATACGAAGGGCACCTATCAAAAAATGTGTGTCGTGTAACTGTGTCGCTTTATACTTTTTTAAGGAAACAGACGTTTTTAGGGGGAAAATGAAATCCAAAAAGTTAACCCCCGCCTATTCATCCCAAAAATTCCATGCCACTTTGAATTAGGGCCTTCGTCTTCATCCACAGCTTCCTCAATTCCTCGATCCATCACCTCCACCAAAAACCTTATTCTCGGTTCCAACAAGTTCTTACACTCTTAATTCGACCCTAATGAGCTGAGGATTTAGGGTTCTTACCTCCCATTTATCAATTTTAGCCGATGATTTACGGTTCCTAAATCCGACCCTAATTTTTTTCTATCTTACTCTCATATTTCCAACATATCCTTCTCACTTGTTTCAAAACACGTAAGGGGTGATGAACACACTATTTCATTGCAAATTTTGGTCTTTACCAAGATCTGGTTTCCATGTAAGCTTTATGTTCGAGCCAAACCATCCTCACATGATGTCACCAACTTCTCTTACTTACACATATGCACTCGGTGGTTCTTTGTCCAGAAGCACCACTCCTGAACCTCAAATTGTGGCTAGGTTAACTAACCCTCGCATACCAACAAAGGTTTGTATCAATTTTAATGCCATGGTAGATCTATCCTATCATTTTCTCATATATCTTCTCATCTTTTACGTATCAAATTTAAGCCTAATACTTTTAGTTTCTAGATTACATATGCAGAGGAACTGGAGGCGGAAACCTAGTATCATGTTGTAACGCCTAATTATGAGTCTTAGTGATAAATCAATGATGCGAGATAGTCATGCATACACCAATGGATCTGAGTTTCAAATGATTGGGTAAGGTGTAAATTAGACAAAAAAAATAAGGTGATTCACCTTTCTCAAAAATCTTCTCTTAAATATCTATGTAACTGAATTACATGCCACTATCTTAGAATCATGAATAAGGTGTTTGCCTGAAACTTTGGATGAGATGGTATCAAGTGGGATTCTTAGTCCTGAGCTT